AGCTGCAGACCTCGCAGCACCAACAAGCCCAACTCATGCGGGAATTACAGCAGGAGCGGATTGAGAAGGGCGATCTGGTCGCGGCTGTGGATGAGATGCTGGCTCTACAGCAATCCACTGGCAACAACAACAGTGGGAACGGCGGCGCGGCGGCGCAGGGGGCGCAGCAGGCGATGAGTGTGGTGGAGGACTTCCGGAAGAGCATTAGTAGTCGGCGGAGCGGTTTACGTGCGCCTGGTGGCGGCGGCGGGCTTGGTGGCGGGCTTGGGGGAGGGCAGCAGAGTAGGATTGGTGGGCCGGCGGGGAGTTTGCTGGCGCGGAGTACGAGTGGAGGTGCTGGTGCTGGTGCTAGTGCCAGTAGTGGGGGGAAGAGTCGGATTCTGGCGAATATCGAGCGGATGGGGCGGGCTGGGGGAGGCGGCAGCAGCAATGCCGGCGGTACGGAGTAGTCGATTTTTGGGGGTATGAGGTTTTCTTTGCGAAAACGACGACAGGCGCTCAGGGTCTCTCTCCGTCTCTGTTGTTGCCATGGCAGGGACTGGTGGGTTGGGGTTACGTTGTACTACTACCAGGTACTGTAGGAGCGACTGCTACTACCTCTACGAAGCGATGGGAACGTCTAACCCGTATGACATCATGGAACCTTCATCTTTCTTCATGTTCCTTCAATCTGGGACCCTAGAGTATCAGTCCAACAGACGTTTCCATGCAAAGCATACTTCCCCATCCGGACGATTGCATCTTGTTTCCGTCAACACATCCCAGGCCGAGTAGTGTCTCGATATCCCGTTGTGTGTTTCGCCAATAATGGCTTCCAGCTCCGCCAACAAGAACTTCCTCGTCACCGGCGCCGGCCGCGGGATCGGGCGAGGTCTCAGCCGCTTGTTGCTGCGGAAAGGCCATCGCGTCTTGCTGGTCGACAATAACGCGGAAGAGCTGGACCACATCTCGGCCAAGCTCTCGCGAGACGGCCACGCGCGGGGCAGCGACTTCGACATCGCCCACTGTGACCTGCGGAGCCCGAGCGATATCCGCGTCGCTGCCGATGCTGCTAATGAGCTCTTCGACGGCCATATCGACTGCCTCGTCAATAACGCAGCGTACACGGGCGGCGTAGGCGGCACACCCCTCGCCGACCTGACGCTGGAGGAGTGGCAAACGTCGATCGAAACGAACTTGACGGGTCCCATGCTGATGAGTCAGGCTTGCCTGCCAATGCTGCGCAAGCAAGACTCATCGAGAGTCCAAGGCGGGTCGATCATCCACATGTCATCCACCCGCGCCTTCATGAGCGAGCCGAACAACGAGGGCTACTCGACCACCAAAGCCGGGCTGCTGGGGTTGACGCAGGCGATGGCCGTCAGTCTTGCGCCGCAGGGGGTGCGGGTCAATACGATTCTGCCTGGCTGGATTCATGGGGCGGATGAGTGTAAGGGTGCGGATGAGAGCGGGCGGGCGTGGGAGGAAGGGTTGAGTGAGGGGGATCATGGGTGGCATTTGACGGGCCGGGTGGGCAGGGTCGAGGATGTGCTGAAGGCGGTGGAGTATCTGGTCGATGCTGGGTTTGTTACTGGGGCGGAGGTTGTGGTTGACGGGGGGGTTACGAGGAAGATGGTTTATCCTGATTAAAGCGTTCGCACCCCCTCACAAATGTATAGGTGCATTGCGTTGCTTTTAGAGTACGTCCAGGCAACCCCGCCCCCAGACGCTTTGCCATCCCAGAGATGTCGACACGGCGGCATAGGCTCGGTGATGGGGCATACGGCCACGACGCACAACGCACTGCGTATACCATCAGCAAGGTCGCAAAGGCAACGAGCATATGACTTACCGCATCAAGCCGCGTCTAACGCCCTCCATCGTCTCGACTGTCGAGTGCTGGACCCGGTACGTCCACGCCTCACAGCATGTCCGAGATCTTGACCCTGCATCATGGGGGAATCAGCTGCTGTTCGTAAAGAGCCGGTGGCCATCGGTCCAATTGGTCCCGGTCCAGTTCGAGATGGAACTGTTGATGAACGAAAAGTCCATCGTTTCGGTCGATCCGGAGCCTTGCAGGAAGACCAACGGGATACGTACAGCACCCACCATCATATGGTAACAACTGGGCGATGTTTCAGTCGCCAGTGAACACACCCAGCTTCATCGCAAATTACTGCTCCACCTGTCCGACGCGCTGCACCCACTGCGACTCGCATACTAGCCAGCAGCCTTCGCTGTCCTCCAACTCGGGCTTTTCGGTCGCGAGTTCCTCTACGACGGGTGTTGTCAGCATAGCTTCGCAGAATCGGGCATGCGTGCATGGCTACCTGCAGCAGATAGTCACACCAGCAACTTGGGGACACCGCTGCCAGGGCCAAGCCCCTCTCCTTCTACAGCAGCAAACACAGCCGGGCTATGACTGGTACTCCATGACTCCGCAGAACCCAGCGTACACGACCCAGCCGCCGGCGCCGACCCAGGACGCTATTGGATCTCTGTACCGGTATGACCAGCCTGCGTTGCCTACGACACCATTCGTTCCGGACCAATGGCAGCAAGGTGCAACGCAGCAACAACAGCAAGGTGCAACGCAGCAACAAGTCAATGGGCAGAATCTCCGTCGTGCCTTTACGCTTCTGGTGATGCCACAAAAGAGTCAATACCCACCCCAAGGCTCATACGGGGCCCAGCAGCAGAGTACTTATCAGCAGTGGAATACCCAGCAGCAGACCACCGAGTATGGGAATACGGCGGGGCACTGGCCACGTCAAAGAATAGACACGGACCCGTTTCACTCTGCACTTGCTCACTCACCCGACCGTGACCCTTTGTCGCGGTGCCATCGAGAAGGATGCATTGGCACGCTCGACTTGTGAGTCCATGCGGTCTTGTCGACAACTTGAGCCTTGCTGACGTCCCTCATAGATATGGACATTGCCCGTATCATCCGAATTCGATATGATGGCGTTCTACCCTGCTTCCACAGACCACACCATCGAGTTCGAGCGACCTTCAGGTACGGCGACGCAAGCTCAACTTCTTTGCCTCTTCTGACAAGCCTAGCATTGGCACTACCGACAGCCGGCCCTCCAGGCTACCAAACTTCTGCTGCGCATTAGCGAGCAACGGCGGACGCCCATAGACCGTCCCAAAGAGTAAGCGTAAGGACGAAGAGGAACACGCCACATCACCACAACATGACATGACATGGTCAGACCGACGCGAACGGGTCGTTGTTCGCAACAGCATCCTCAGAACTCTCCGCATTCTGCCCAACAGTTTGTCCGACAGCAGCGTATGCACCCTGACCGACATACGGCTGAAGCCCAAAGGCTGGACTTTCCATGGGTCGAAGCACCGAACGTCACGTTACCCCGACCTCATGACGGGATGCATGAACCGGGTATCGTTGAAGTATATGTTGCTCCGCATGCACTTCTCTGCATTGATGCCCTGTTGTATCAGGGCTTGGTTGTTCATCGTGCGAAAGGCATGCGCGGTGTATTTGGTGGTTGCGTCGTTGTTGGGTGCCTGTGCAGCGGCGATGCCGATCAGGCTGGTCAAAAGGACTTCGAACAGCATCATCATGAGCAATTCAAGCGTGCAGGAGTATGAGTTCGGGGACAGAGTGGCAGTAGCGAAGAGGGCGCATCTCGAGCCCTTGTATCATTTTTGTATGGCGCCAACCTACTTGAACGAAGTCTTAGCTGCGGCACCATATAAAGCGAGCCTTGGTACAGCCTCTGCCATGTACTTCTTGACCGCACCTAAAGTGGTTGTCGGGCCCTCCGCAAGGTTGGCCAAGTTTGGAACAGGAGCTTTCTAATCATGTAGTAGTGCTGGAGGCCTGCTTGCCATTAGTCCAGTGGCAGCGCAGCAAGTGCCTTGTGGTTACCAAAACAGGTAAGTAGGGGCGCGGCGGTACCCAGAGCATGCTTCGGTTTGGCGAAGCAACGGTCTAGAATGGCGCGCAGTTGCAGGAGGTGGTCTCGTGAGTGTTCCTACATGTTTGGTGCAGTAGAGAACTATGGTTTCGCTCCTTCATATGTGGGTCTACCCGCAATCAATGTCAGGCCTCCCACCTGCCCAACTCTGCGGGAAAATGTGAGAGGAGATGGGTGATCTCGTATACCGTACAGTCCCAGTGCGGCTGCTCTAAAGGCCCTTGGTACTGCCGGTGCACACGCCTCTGGCTCGTGCGTGAAGCAGTCGTCCCAGCTCAACGCCTTGTTGTGCCACTGCCCTGCCTTATCTTACACCCCATTGCTCCCTCTTACTAGCTGTTGTACATGCGCCGTCGACCTGATTAGGTGGGTTCTTCAGAGCCTACATATCGTCAGCTAGACCATAGCACGCCACATAGCAATGCGCAACCTACGGTGGAAGCAAGATCTCGCTCCAGCTGCTGTGCAAGAACGCTACGCCGGCCTGTCCGCACTTCATTAGCCATCCGTCCACCTCCATCACTTGCCATCAAGTACTCACGACAAAGAACGCCACTGAAGTGACTACACTCCTGTTCTCCGGGTTCGTGACCTCGCTGAGTACTGTCCGCGCATATCCCCCTCTTTGTTGGGTTGGCCGGCCGACTGCGGTGCCACGGATTGCGCCCTTGGGTGGCATGTTGATGTGACGTGTGAGTGCTGTTTGTGCGAAATTTGGGGACGATTCGGTTGATGCGAAGTAGGATGATGGCTTGCTTGACCTGTCTGAAAGATGGTCTTGCGATCTTCAGGACTTTGAGCCTCTGAGGTTTGGAGCGGGAAGCGGAAGCCCGAGCCATCTTGGCCGCCATCACGTGATCGCATGTGGGACCTCACGGACTTCACATCATCAGACGTTACCGCGAGGTTCATGAACATTTCCACGAACGGTACTGACTATGTCTTGATGCAAGCTATATTATCTAGGTTTTTGGAAGAGAATTGGTGAGAAGGTGGAAGAAGGGGAGATCCCCGGCTCCAAGAGGAAAATAATTGAGCAATATAAGTTTGGTTTACGGCCGTTCTGTAAACTACGCCCGCATGGCTTAGTGGTACAGCGTGTCACTCGTACGGCAGGTCCAGCCTGCCAGTGATGACAAGATCCCCTGTTCGATTCAGGGTGTGGGCACGACATCGTTACGGTCGTAGAGTTTCTTTTTTGTTTCGTGATTTGGTCTCCGTTCCGTCTCGTCTCGAACGGCGACCTACCTCCCGCGTTGCAACTTGCGGCGTTGGAGGAACAACCACCACTGCTAGGTAGGCGGCGTCACTGTGCGTCCGCAACAACGCCAAAGGTACCTTGTGTTATTAAGCGTTCAAGTCCTAAACCTCCTATAGACAAAAGCCATTACTGTCCTAACATACAACTGTTTTTTAGACGGTACCAGTGTGTGTGGCCAGGCCATGCAGGTCTTGCGAACTAGGAAGTAGTGCCGATCTCAGCCTCAACCTCAAGTTCGAGCTGGTGAAACGACGGCTACTCTATCGCTGCAATCTTTGCCCTTTCCCTCATCAACTGAAGAGATCCGCGAGCATCTTCCGGAGTGGTTCCAGCCATTATCGCGCCGCACCAGACATGGACTGCATCTCCAGAACGCCATGCCAGCGACCACATGGTAGCCATCAATAGCGACCCATTGGCCGCCTAGATTTTACGAGGCCATATTGGAGTCTACGCGGCCCGAATGTAGACTGTTCACATCTAGCACGAGCTCCCGTCTAAAAGATGTCGGACCCATTATCAGTAGCGGCCTCGGTCGTCGGCCTAGTCACTGCAGGCGCTCAGATGATCACAACACTGTACAACATTGGATCAGCCATCAAGGACGCACCCCAACTCACACGGGCGGCGGCTGATGAGCTCGCTAGTATCACAGTCGTGTTGCAGCAGTTGCAAGCATACGTACTCGGGAAAGCCAGAGTATCGATACAAAGGCTGAACCTGATCACGGTCGAGCACATCACAGCCACTCTAACAGGATGTGTGGTGACTTACTCGGAGTTAGATGTAGTGCTCAAGTCGCTCAATGCCGAGACTGGCATGAGAGCGTGGGATCGCGGGATGTGGTATCTCAAGAAAGACAAGGTCACCGAGATCGTGCAGAGGTTGCAGAACCATAAGGCTACGTTGGGGCTGATGTTGAACATCATACAGTGGTACGTTGCCACCAGTGTCTGCCTGCTTGTAGGGCTCTCGTGAAGTTGCACTCTGAATCGGCGAGCTCACCTACAGCGTCAATCATACGAGCCTCTAGATGATTTGCTTACCGTCAGAGCAGTGCCTCACTAAGCGAAGCCGAAACGAGCATGGACCGACTGTGCGATGCTGTCAACGAAGTGCTCCGGACGAACCAGGAGCTCTCTATGCGCTTACGGAACATGGAGGAACTGCACGTCGGCCAGCGAAGCGGCGAAGCCCAGCAGGGAGGGTCAAACGACGAGCCTGGAGCAGACTCTGGCGCCACCAGTCCGCCTCCCGACAACGATCAAGGCAGCGATAGCGGTAGGCTGTCAATAGCATCTTCCACAAGCCAGGTCAGCGCACTGAACGGGCACACTCGAACGTCGGGCGACCATGGCAGGCCGTCCAACTTCGAGGAGTTACTGCACCGGAGTCGAGTGTACAGGCACGTCGATCCGAGCGACACCAGTCCATCCCTCATTAGCGACGCTCGCAGCACACTGGCGCTGTCGATCTGCTCCTCCCTTACGCTGGGCGAGGTATCAAACATCTCCGTCTATGCGATTCCAATCTACGCCAACGAGTTATCCAACGCTAGCTGCTATAATTTCGATCCGCTCCCAACGCAGCTGGAGAATCAAACAGCTATGCAGGTCGACGACCCATCTTCCTCCCCCACCACGCCGCACAAGCGCCAATGGCGTGCCCTCTTCACGCGATCTCCCCGTCGGCCGACCACAGACGTTGTCCCTGCGGTGGAGTCTGGCATCTTCGGCGTGCCCTTGAACGTCAGCATACGCTATGCCAACGTGGCTATATCGCTGTTCAACGACGACGGCCAATCTTACATCTACGGCTACCTGCCCATCGTCATGGCGAAGTGCGGCGTGTATCTGAAGGAGAAAGGTGCGTTAAAGCAAAACAATCCCTCGAACCCCCTGAAACCCCATGCGCAGTCCTCTCAGTACGTACCAAGCCATGCCTGCGCTAATCGTATACGCGCAACAGGCACAGACGTCGAGCACATCTTCGCCCAGTCGCCAAACCTCCGGCACCTGCGCGAGTTGCACTCCGCCTTCGACTCTCCGGACCGGTATGGCAAGGGCCTCGATTGGACAGGCTACTCCGTGCACGACGCCGCCAACATAGTGCTGCGCTACCTATTGCAGCTGCCGGAGCCCGTAATCCCACTGGACTTCTACGAGCGCTTCTGCAAACCGATCCGAGAGCATCAGGCCCAAGCCGTCGGTGCTATAGACAACCAAGGGCCAAGCATCGGCGTCTTCGACCCCGACGCCGCCGTGAAAGCCTACCAGAGTCTTATCACCGCGCTCCCGCCCCTCAACCGCCAGTTGCTCCTCTACATCCTCGACCTCCTCGCCATTTTCGCCTCGAGATCCGACGTGAACAAGATGCCCACGGCGAAACTCGCGGCGCATTTCCAGCCGGGCATCCTGGCGCACCCGCAATACCGCTTAGTGGCGGCCGAGGTCCGGCTGGCGCAGGACGTGCTGATCTTCGTGGTGGAGAACCAGGAGAAACTCCTGCTTGGCATGGACGGGTCGCCGTTCATCAAGTCTGTTGATGATCGGCAAGCTGCCGCGCTGCGGGCAGCCGCAGATGCGACAAGCGCGGGGAATTAACTGGTGGCGGAGCCGGAGCCGGGCGACGGAGGGCATGGCGATCTCCGGCGTAATGTCTCGATGCCTAGCATGAAGTAGCACCAAGTGTCGCGCATGCAGACCGGCTTCAGGAAGCGGTCAGTATCCATCTAGCGGTGGTCCCACCTACTCTTCCGCAGGGATTTATCACAGCCCCCTCCGCCCTTTCGAAGTTCTGCTGGAGGCTTAGGTTTAGCGGCGTAGTGCTGCAGCGGCAGCGGCAGCCCCAATACGCACTCGCGGCCAGAGACAGATCGGTGAGTTGGCAGAAACTTGAAGCGGAGGTAGATAGGTGAGCCTTGCAAAAACATTGTTTGCAACGTCAGGTTCCCACGGCCGGGCTATGCCTTGCTATTCCTACAAAACAATCCACGGCACAATCATCACAACCCACCATCGAACTTTTACGATAAAACAGCAATCCGCTAATGCATGCGTACCTGCTGCGTACCGTAGCCCACGCACGCACATCATTCCTCCTCGCTTCATTAGGCCTCCTCCTCCTCCCTCTCCCTCACCCTCTCTCCTAACAGCCCACGCTACAACGCCTCCTACTTCTTCTCCGCATCCTTCTTCCCCTTCTCATACAGCTCCTCCAGCTGCTTGCTCCGCTTCTCCAGAATCTGCTGCAGCTCGCCGACCGTCTCCTTGGCCAGGCTCTCGGCCTCCTGGCCGTGCTGCTGCGCGACCTGCTGGTACTTCTGCAGCTGCGGCAGGATCTGCGAGCCGCCGGGGATCATGTTGAGCCAGGTCGACATGCCGGAGAATGAGGAGGAAGAGGATGATGAGGTGGCTTGTTGGGCTTTGTCTTTCGCTCTGTAGGGAGAAGATTTCGTGTTAGTGGTTTTGTTTGATGGCGGTGAGGTGAGTTGGGGGTGGGAGAGTGGGTAAAGGTGGGATGGATGGACTTACTGCTGCACGTATTTCTCGAGGTCTTGCGTGCTGCCGCTGGACACGGCACTCTGCACTTTGCTCACGGCCTCGGAGATGTTGCCCTGCTTCAGCGTATCGATGTTCTGCTCGACAAACTGCTTGACCTGCGGGCTCTTCTCCAGCAGCGGCTTGATCTGCTCGTACCCCTTGCCCCACGCCTGCTCGCCCAGCTTCTTGATCTGCTCCTGCTTGTCCTGCACCAGCTTGCGGATCTGATCGACCGTGTTGAAGCTGAACCCTCCGGCCAGGATCTTGGAGACGTCACTCCAGGTCTGATCGACCATCTTCTTCGCCTCGGGCCCGGCCGAGTCGCCGAGCTGCTTCAGCTGGTCGAAGGAGCCGCCGAACTGCTGCTTCAGCTGCGGGTGGTTCTCGAGGATGGATTGCCCGGCATTGGCGGCGAGGCCTGAGAGGCGGCCGAGGTGCTTCTGCAGGATCTCCCAGACATCGCTCAGCGCGTCAAAGTTCATGCCCTTGCTGCTCGCATCCCGCAGCTCGCCGTACGCCTCCCGCACGATGCTGTCGACCTCGGGCCCGTGCTCCTTGCGGATGGTCTCGAGGTCGTTGAAAGCGGAGTCGACGTAGTGCTTGCCGCCGGGCAGCCACCTGGCGTACTTGTTCGCCGTCTCGCGCAGCGCCTGGATGACCTCGTTCGCGTCGTCGGGCGTGTTCTGCTTGAACTGGGCTTTGAGGGAGCCGACGGTGCTGTCGATGTAGGCTTTCGTCTGGGTGGCGGTCTGCACGGCGGGGCGGATGCCCGAGTATTGGTAGAAGCCGAAGGCGATGGCCGTGGCGGTGATGGCGCTCACGGCGGCGCTGGTGGCGACGTGGTTGCTGCCGACGGGCGGGGACGAGGCGGCGGCGTCGCTGGCGAAGCGGACGTTGCGGCGAACGGCGGGGCCATTGGCGCGGAGGGCACGCGTGGCGCGGAGTGTGGCTCGGCTGGAGAACATGGTGGTGGTGGTGGATTGAGAGTGAGATTGAGGGTGTGTTTGTGAGGAAGGGGAGGAGATGTAGTGGTAAGATGGAAGGTTGGTGTGATGTGTTGGCAATTTGAATTCCTGACCAAGAGTTCGAGCCTCCGCGGTGACGATGCAGCTTGGCCGCGTTTTCACTTTCACTTTCACGTGAAAGTCCGATGACGTCGCAATGACAGTGTGGAGAACGCTAGGGCGCTAGGGCTAGGGATGCAGGTCCCAGACCTCGGTCGAAAAGCATATCCCACTTCCCTTTCAGACTTTTCAGCTTTACTGCATCATATTATTGACAGTTTGACTGCACGGTAAATACTGCATGGAGTAACAATGGTGCTTCAGGCGTCTTCTTGGACGACGCCATGCATACATACTGTAG